TTGAGCAAAGTTTTTACCATTAAATGATGCAAAAGATTTCAGAAACCAAATCTATCAAATATGATCCATATGGCTTCATTGGGTTAATAATAATAACATCTACCTGTTTCTGCTAGTGGGATGTTCGGGATCTAATATCAACTTCCACGTGCGTGTTTCTCTTTATGTTCTGACTCAGCTGAACTGCTCTCCGACCATCTCCTGGATTTACATTTACATTTAGAGGAAATGTGCTTCGTACAGCATCAGCTCTGCGTCTGAGCGGGCAGATTCCAGCCCGGAGGAAACCTATAAGCCAAAGAGCTCCGCGATCGCGCCGCCATCTTCTGGATCGATACCCATTAGTGTTTGAGCAGAGCTCCTCCTGGGTGAACGGGTCTGAGGCATAAACCGGCTCTGGGTCGGATTTCAGCTTCACTCGTCCTCCACGACAAACATGCGTAAACACACACGACGATCATTTAAATAGGGCTGTCACGATACTAAAATGTTCAACTCCATCCATACCGATACTCAGGAAAATATCAGATACTCGATACCATTTTTGATACCACAAGGATAGAAACAAAGACCCCAAAATGTAACTGAATTTTGACAGGTCAGTGTCTTTGGTTTCAAACTGACCTGTTACTGATGTTATGGTGGCCCACATTAATGACCCTAACCCTAACCCTAACCCTAACCCTAACCCTAACCCTGACCCTGACCCTACAGCCTTCATAATTGTGAGAAATAAATATTTTTTGGTTAAACTTGTTTGGACTTATTGTACAAACCTATTTAACATCCACTATTTTAACATAATATTATGGATAGAGTTTAATTCACTGTTTTTTTTAAGATTCATTTCACAATTTTTAAATTAATGTCTATATTGCCATGAAGCAATTAGGATTTTCTTGCCTGGGATCTTCCTATTGGTGACCTAATCAAAATGGCCGACTTAGATGTGGGGGGGTTGGATATCCATCCTTGGCTTCCTGCAGACCTGATTAATGTTGGCGTGTTATTATTAGCCATTAGCCGCAGCTAGCAATTCAAGGCTAACGTCACGTTAATGATCATAAACAACGTAAATAAATAAATAAATGAGTATCGTATCCGGATACAACGTTTGACAACAAGACATTCAAAGCCAAAAGAGAACGACCCATTTACGTCCATTCAACAGAGAGCAAGTGGGAAGGGATTCAGCATTGTACACTATGAGTAAGAAGGCCTACAAGCGGATCATTGCAAACGTAAATTCAGTTTCAGAGTCGTTCTCCGGGTAGAAGGAGACCAGTTGATGATTGACAGCATACCAGAACAAACTCTGAGTCCGGGTATTAATTCCAGTCCGGGAGACACAGGAAAAAGACACAAAGGGAATATAACCTTTTTTTTTCTTCTCTTTTCCCACTTCAAATCTTTTTTCATTTCATTAGATGTCGTTTTGAATC